TACATATAGCACAGTCTCAGGTCAGAGAAGCCCTATTAAGATTATGAAGAAAATCCTATCTGCTTAACAGTGGTAATAAATGACTGTGAACTTGTCTGAATATCTAACTTAAATCTAAAAGAAAGCTATGGAGAGTGAGATGGGAGATGGAAGAAGTGTGAGGGAAGACTGAAAAGGACAAGCAAGCACACTACACTAAAAAAAGAAAAGAAAAGAAAGAGAAAAAAAGAAAACGAAATAAAACAAAACAAAAGTTTTTCTAATATCTGCCTAACACCACTTCAGTGAAACCAAGAGGCCAACAATTAGTAGTACTTTCAAGATTCTTATGCCTTACCTGGCCATTTATTATTATGTTGGCAGTTATGAATACTGAACACTCAAGGATTGTATGCTTGTTTCTGAAACTGACGGATATGCTGAAACTTTGTAATTTGCTCTGCACTGAGTCTAAAAAGAGAGGACTCAGGTGAAAGAGATCACAGCAAAGAAAAATCAGACACATTAAATCCCTGAGGCCAAGTAAACAAAGGGAGTGCTAGACTGTGACCAGAGAATATCCTCAAGTATTTAGATAGAGGATCCCATTTCGCCCCAGTTATCCAGGACCATTTATATCACATTTATAGACCCATCTACTAATGTAGATAACTAATATGGTCCCAAGACAAAAAAAAAAAATACACATAAGATCTATAGCGCTGGAGTTCGGCATCATGTCAATTTACTGCTTGGCTCATCTCAAACAATTCCAATAACCAAGCTGATCCTGGAAACAAATGTGTCTACCTTTTCTATTTCATAAGAAACCTGGACCCTGTCTGGTTTTGCTTTCCTGTAGCTATGTCTTCAAGGCCTACAACCAAATCCCATTTCTTCCTCTTTCCCCCAAGATGCCAATCTGAACCTCTACCTAGTGCCTACTACCAACCACCATCCCAACTCCCACACCAAGTTGGCCTGCTCCAACTATCTGTCTACACTGCCTTCTACTATACAAATCTCTCATGCTGACGGGCTGACCGTAGGCATATATGGACGAACCACTATCTAGATTTCCAAGACCGGTTTCTGGCCTCTCCCCAATTTAGAAAGACATATATCTTGCTTGAGGTCAATCTGCCTAGTAGTTGGATACCAAATCCTACAACTAAGCAAGTCACAGTTCAATCGTAATGATCACCCAATTTACCTAAATTTCAATGACATATTAGGTTTTATTCACTCTTTCTTTTCTGAACACAAACTGAAACTCTTCAGATCTCTCACACCGTGCCTTACCAGTTCACCTAGGAAGCAGACCTGCAGTTTCCTATTTTCACCCAAATCAAGAATCACTGCATCTCTTTCTTTGCCTATCTTCAAGCCCTTGACAAGACACCATTTACTTCTATGCACTGAAAAATTAAACATTTATGATACTTAAAATACATTTAATAGAATAGTCCATGATTGAGGAGGGGAGGAAAAAATACCATAAATTTGGATTATATATCAAAAAATTGGAGGTATTTTTGATTGGCAATATGGAATGAACCAAACGCACTTCATATATTATAACTTTTATATTAAATGCCTTATAATTTAGGTCATCTTATTAATGTGCCATTTTATTTTGCAAAACCCTCATTTAGAGAAATACATGGCAAATTTTAGGCTAGTTTCTATAGGAAAATATAAAATATCATGAATGTGAATTTTCACATTGTGATTTTATTGAATTAGAAATATTCGAAATTTGATACTTAGAAAAATCTGACTATGAGTACTTACTAAATAATAAAAATGATCATTAGATTTGCTAGAGACCCAACTTCAAAACAAGTTTCCTAATATTCCTCTTTTATGCTCATAGTTTAATTGAAGTAAATCCTAAGACTGAAAGGTAAACCATTAATGGGCAATTTCCACTTGCCACTACTTATCTGTATGAATCAAGATTTTCTCCAAACGATGCAACGAAGTAAAATAAAGAAATAAATCACTCAAATATATAATTGCATATATCATTTCTAAACCGATTGCATATTTTTCTCCATTAAAACTACCTCATAGTTTAAACATGCTGACTTGTTACATATGTGATCTTATAAAAAATAATTTAAACTAAAAAGTTCATAACCTTATCTAAAATAAAAATTCAGTCCTTAAAATTCACTTACTTTTTCAAAAATAAAAGTTCACATGTAGTGACATTTTGTACCATTTGTTTTCTCTTATTCCACTACAAAATGAAGATCTGTACTTTCCAAGAAAAATAACTATTGCCTCTCTCTCTAAAGCTCTCTCCAAATTCTTTCACACATAATGCCTCAAAGTTCCTCAATGTATTTATAATGTAGAAACTAAAAACAGTGCTTTAGTTTAACATAAAATACATATAAGTCTCTAATAGTACCCATCCTACCAATAATAAACTTTCTCCATAGTATATACTCAAAAATGAAAGTATCTTCCTACATAATTGTTGTAGGGATACAACAAGTAAAATTCAATTTCTGCATTAATAAAAAACCACCTCATCCCACTGATCCTTTAAATACAATATGCTGCTTCTAATCAAGGTCAAAACCTGAGAATTGCTTTTTCAAGTTGGTTCAAGAATTATAAAAATGAAAATAACAGCAACCAGCACTGGAACTATTCTAAGCATTTTACAAGTATTAGCTCATTCAATCTTCCTAACAACCTATGAAGTTGATATTTTTAATCACATTCATAGATTAAAAAACTGAAGCAGAGATTAAGTAACTTAGTCACAACAGCTAGTAGGTGGAAGAGCCAGGATTTGACCTTAAGCTGTCCCAGTCCAGAGCCCACACTCTTAATTCTTTACCCGTACCACCTAAATGTAGGACCCATCACTTCACAGATATCCAAATTATTTCAAAACAAAAAATTAAAGGTTTTTTCATTTTGTGACAAACCAGGAAAAATATCATGTAAATATTTTAAGCTGTTATCTTAAATCATAAGAAATAAAGACTGTTGATAACAAAACCAAGCAAATTAGATTTATATTAAAGAGGAAATTCCCTTTAAATCATTTTGATAATTTTAATATGAAAGATTACATAACCAGTAAATTTAAAGTATACATTCATATGGAAATGTATGACAAATATCTTTCAAAAATTAACTACAAATGCACCTAAGTAACCAACCTTCAAAACACACTGTGGGCAGTCAAGGTGAGAGTATGCAAACAACATACTTTACCAAGATAATCTGGCAACTCACCTAACCAGAACTCAGCAAGAAGTCACTAAGAAAAGCCCCTTGGACAATTAAAATAGTTAATCCAATGTTCAAGTATTGATACTCATTTACTTTTCTCAAGAGGATCTCACACAGTAAGGAAGAGTACGTATTTTTCACTTGTAAGAACTACAAATATGAAACTTCAAAATGCAAAGGAATCTCATCAACAGTCCAATTAACAGATCCTCAAGGCATCAAAGTACCTGACTTCACAAATTATGACTGTAGGTCATCAAGAGGTTTAATTATATTTTGCATCCTATTCAAGACAGAAAAGAATTGCATATTTAATTTTAGTATGATTTTCATCCAAAGCAGTTTAAGTGGTTTTATAATTTGATGCTTAAAGGAATAAACTCTCAATCACCCAGTAAGCTCAACTAATCAATTAGAAAGTAATTCATGTGACAGTTCCAAATACCAAAGGTTTGGGTTCAAGAGCACTTAGTGTACAAAAGTTATCTGAAAGCAAGACGGAGATGGGGGAACAGAAACATAAAAAGCCTAAGACATCACAGAAGAGCAAGGCGAGTGTCTATAAACACTACGCTTAAAGCATTCCCCGCAAAACAATGTGTGGGCAGAAAGTGCCACATCAGCAGTATTCTGTATCTGTCCGGCTTCTAAATCATTTGTTAGTTTCATAAATTATTAATTTTGGTTAATAGTTTGTTGATATAAAGCAGTACCAACTCACAGCTGCAAAAAAGTGATAGTATCCTCCTAATTTATTCTACAAAACCAAAATTAAGATTACTCCCACAGAACATGCTTATGCCTTACGGTGACGCAAATTTATGCTTTAAGGTGGCACACTTTTTTTTTAAGCAGCTCACTTTTAAATTGCTTTTAATTTTCCAAGGATTAAGGGAGATAGTGCCTACCCCACACCGCACTTTGTTATCAAAAGAATTGTTACACTACTCCTCAAAACTCCCTTTCAAACCAGGCTGCGCCACATTCTGCTTTCTCTAGCTCCAAGCAAAGCTTTAAAATACTAAATAACATATAAAGCTTTGTACTTTTCCCTCCTCTAGCAAGGAAGTCTAACTCCAAACAGGAAACTGCTTCTCAAAGGGTTCAACACAGAAATTCTATCAAACCCAAACCCAGTCCTCAGTTAAGAGATTTAATATTTAAATGCCAACATATTTGCACAGGTAGAAACGGAGAAAATACTCAAGCTTCCCTGGCATTGAGGCATCCCTTGCAAGTTTTAGCAGGGCGAAGGAGGGGGAGGGAATTGCCTTGTCTAACAAACAAACAAGGAAAAACGAAAAAAAAAAAAAATTAAGCCAATCTATACAAAGCCTCGTAGAAGATAAAGAAGTTGAAAGTGCTACTTTTATCAAGTTTTTCAATCACCCTCCCCCATGGGGGAGGGAAGAAGAGGCTGGGGAAGAGAGGGAAACTCCAGGCTGAGTTCAGCTGGACAGTGGGCGAGGAGAGGTGACTGGGTACCCCTATCCCCCATCTCCTCACCTTTCCCAAGAGCAGAAAAAGACGCGGGGAGGGGAGCGCGAGAGGAAGCACCCGCAAACCCTCCGACTAATTTTTCCGCCAAAAGAGCAAGGTGGAAGGCAGAACAAGGAGGGGCGGACGGGAGGGTTCGGTGTTGCCGGCAGCGGCAGACGCGCGTCTCCGCGCGCGTCTCTTCCCCGCGGAGACCGAGAAGGGGAACCGCCTTCCCGAAAGGGAGGGTCGGCCGGGCGATGGGAAGCGCCCCCCGAGTCTCTTACCCATGCTGGGGACGCCGGCAGGGAGAAGCCCAGCGCCGCTGCTCCTCCTCCAGCTGCTCGCGCGGCCGCTCTCGCGGCAGGAGGCCGGCCCTCCGCTCCGCTCTTGCCCCTCCAGAGCTCAGGCGGGACGAGGAGGCGCCTCCATCCGCCCGCGGCGCTCCCTGGACAGTCTCGTCAGCGCGGCCGTGAGGAAGAGGCGGCGGCTACTCGCGCTAGTTCTCCGCCGGAGCCGCGACAGCGGGAGGGCTCTCCCCCGCCCGTCCAGATGGCGGCTTTCCCACTCTCGGTCGCACCCGCAGGGGGGTGGGACTTGCCGGTTCGTCTTGGCCGCTGGCTCCCACCCCGAGCGCCGGCCGAGCCTCGGAGCCCGCCCCTCGCCTCTCCTTCACTGCCTGCCGTTCTAGAACGCGACCCCAAAGACTAAGGTGGAAACCGGGACCGAAGCGAGGAAGGTGTCGGAGATGGGCCGGGTGGAGGCAAATCTCGCGAGAATCCCTTGTTCTCCCTGCCCCGCCCCCGCCGCTTCCCGGCTCACCACCCGGCCCCCGGCTGGTGCCAGGTGCGGTGACGTCATGGCCGGGGGTTCGCCTGTCGCCGGCGTCCAGGTGCGGCGAGCGGAAGAGAGAAGAATCCGGAGGAGTAGCAGTTAGTCCTCCGCCGTGAGTTCGGAACAGCTGAAACGGAAGTTTTGTGTGGTTTGTCGCCTTAGATGGATACAAAGAGTTTTCGCTGATAGGAAAAGTGAGCCTGGGTTGCCCCACTTTCCGAGGCGGCGATGTGGTGTTGCTTTCTGCAGAGGGGGACCTAAAAGAAAAGAGGCAGCGAGAGAGAGTGAGCCCTCTTGCTTTCCACCTTCGGAGGCCCAGCTGCTAACCGAATCCCAAAGTTTACCCTGCAAAGTTCCTTACGAATCAGAAGCATGTCTTCGTCGGGGAAAAAAAAAAAAAAAAAAAAACCTTAGGCACAAAATCTATTTTACAGAAATAAATTATTGGTTTCATTTAGTCTGTCAGTTTAAGACAATTTTTAAATCCCTTTTCTCTTTTGGGAATACAATTTGTTACATAATGGGAAGTGGGGGGGGGGGATATTCATGATTTGAAATTCCAGGCATTTTTTTAGCTTCAATATGAAGAAGGGTCTAAGGTTATTGTAATCAAACAGCCTTTTCTTAGAGTTAGAAACAAGTATAATTAATTCAGCCAGCTTTTGTCCCCGCTTATTTACACCCAGTTTCCACAGAGGTGTGTGAGAGCAACATTTGTTAATGCCAGCTACTGTACCTAGTGCTTTTTAAAGAAATTATGTCTTTTAATTCTAACAATTATCCAATACTAAAACCGCCTTGCCCTTTGGAACCGGGCAGACCTAGATTTCTGAAACAGCACAGCATTACTTTTTGTGGTACCTTGGTTAAATTAACTAACCTCAGTGGACTTCAGTTTCTTGAGTCTGTTGAAAAAAACCTTTACAGTGCAAAGCAGTGTCTGACACATTGTAACAGCCTCGTAAATATCCACTCCCACTGTCTCCTATATAGGCCTGTTTTAGCCATCTTTTAATCCTTTTATTATTTTTTTGAAAGGTTGTATAAGGTGCCTTTATAACAATTCAGTCACAGTCAGAAGCCATAAAGGAGAAAAGAAAAATATGGAATATGTACACCTAAACAAGATGTGGCTGTGTTGTATTGTAACTATAGAACACATTTTGCCTTTTTCAATCAAAAAATACTGAGTATTATGTTTATTGTCCGCTACCAAACAAACCAAAAAAAAAAAAGGTGATGTACAGCCCACATCCTCAAAGATTTTGCATTCTAACTAGGAGGTGAGACATTAACACATAGTTTATTAACAGTATGAGTTAATGAGGGTCAAATGCCTGAGAATTTGAAGGAAATAAATTACTGTGGGCAAGGCAAGATTCAGGAAGAAGGTATAAATTGAACACAAACTTGGAGGAAAGCAATAATTTCAGCCTGGTGGAGTCCTAGAAGTAAAGAGTGGAGGTGGATATGCAAACAATATTCCTGAGCCTTAAATCTGTGTGGCTCCAGCAGCATGTAAGAAAGTAAACCATTTAAGATTTAAAGAATGAGGCTGGTGGGAAGCAAAAGACAATTCATGAAAGGAGACAATAATATAATATGTTGGAAGAGAACTAAATTCCTAGGTCTCTAGGATCCTAGACATTTCAAGAAGAAAGTCCAATGAGTAGAACTGAGGAGAGATTTAAGGAAAACAAACACAAAAAAGGAAAAAAGACCACTGGACTTGACAATAAGGTTACCTTTGAAAGTACAATTTCAGAATATATAATATGTAACCATATATATTCAGAATATAACAGAAAAGATAAAAGTTAAGGTTTTTAGTGACTAAATGAGTGATAAGGGGTGGAGGCCACAAGCTGATAAGTTGGCCACATTTTCTTAATCAGAAATCAGGTCACATGATCTGACAAGGTAAAACATTTAAAATCAGTTCCATCCTAGAAATCCTGAAGTCTGTATTATTTTCATAATAAATAATGTATTTTAGAAGTTTGAAAAAAAATAAGCAAAATCACTCTGCAAATTCAGAGAGCAATATCCTGTTGATGTAATGCTGAGATATTGGATCATAATAGAAATTGGAAGGATCAGGGAATAGGACCCATAAGAAAGCTTGAGAAAACTAAAGTAAAGCTAAGAAGTGATCACAATCCTGGAGTTAATGCTCTCTTCTAAAGGTAAAGCCAAAAGAAATCTCAATAGCAGAATGAACTCTAGAAATTTATTTTTTAAACTTACAAAAAAAAGTATGTAAAACTATGTTCCAAACTTTCAAGTATTAAGCAAATTTATTAAATATTCTATAGAGCTCTTCTCATCTTGTAACTCTTACTTCCCCAATAAGAACTTCAAAGTACGACACTCTATTTTATACAATTTTATATTTATATATACTTTATTCAGCTCAAAACATTGATTTCCTCAGCAGTAGCTATTAGTCGGAGGATAGAAAATATGGTGAGAAGATAATATCACACTTTTCAGATATTTAAATTTAACCTCAAATTCCTTTCAGCTAAAAAAAATTCTTTTTTTTTTTTTGCCTTTATTTCCTTTGTTATCTTTTAATGAATTAGGGTTTTTTTCTGTGCATCTGTCTTCACCCTTTGCATTCCCAGGCAAATGGACTAATACCACACTGACCACTCCTTTTTTTTCTGCTGAAAACTGAATGTGTTGATGTGGTATCGAAGAGAACATTACGATCTCTGTGAGAATGACACAGTTTGAGACCAACCTAATTCATACTAAACTGCCATCATTTCTTCTTAATGTTTTCTTAGGAATTTACAAAAGATATGTATATTGAAAAAATCCTCTACCTTCTTCTGGTAAAAACTATTCTAACCAGGAAGATTATTCTGAAGAAAACTCAATTGTGTTATTTTAAAAACACTCATTTAGCTCAAATCTTAACTAAAGAATTAGTTAATTCTTTTCTGCTTCTTTATTCTTGGTTCCACAGTAGTAGATTTCCTGGTCGTTCTCCTTATTGTTATCTTGTTTTGGCTTAGCTAGTTTACAGTATACATAAGCACAAATTACATCAATGTATAATTTGAATTTTAAAATTCACTCTTTAGAAAAGAATTGCAGGAAATAATAATCTCAGACACAATGCCCATACTGTGAGGTCATTAGAGCTGGAAAATTGCCCTGCTCATACTGGTGACCCATCAGCTTATAACAAAATCCTGCTACTCTGCTAGCAAACTGGAGAAGTGCTCAAACATGTAACCACTCTAAGTGCTTTTCATTACTGCACATTAAGAAAATTTTAATTAAAAATATGATGAGCCAAATGACTCGCCACTTTGTCAACTGAAAGGACCTTTTTAATAGTGATATTTGCACTATATTCTGAGGGTAGTGTTATTATAGCACGTTCGTATGATAGGTAAGTCATAGAGCCTTGTAGGCCTTCAAAGAGAGTCTCTTTCAAGAAGTACTACTTTTTCAAAATGTTAAAGATAATCTCTATCGAAGTGTCTGTTATTTTAAGTAATCTCAAATGACAAATACATTTGCACTTTTCAAATATCAAGCAATTCAGTTATAAACACAATATTATATAAAAAAATTTCCAGTCATGAGTACACATACATTCAACTCAACAAACGTTTACTGATCACCCTTTACAGATCAGCACCTGCTCTCAGTCATAAATATAGACATAGAAAATACAGTCCCTGCCCTCAAAAGAGGAAGTATTACAGAGCCTTTGTGGGCATATTGGAGTTGCCTAGGGAATAGTATTCAGACAGCCAGGACATCAGACAGGTGTCCAATTGAAGCCCTAGGATGCCTTTTGGGGAACAGGCTTGGAGAACCAGAGTCGAACAAGAGGGCCCCATGTGTTGTGGGAATGATTTGAGGTGTTATTCTAGAAGTTATAGGTAGTTAATGAAAAATTTTAAGTAGGTAATTGATATCCTCTTTCAGCCATATCTATGGTCACAGAAAAAATTCATACCTCTCAAAAAATTAGATGTAAAACATTTGGTTCAATAAGCATTGATTAAACACCTGTACCCTTGATCAATTAGTAAATGATTTTAATATAAAAAAGCTAATATAATATACGAGGCACTATGTATTCTGAGATGCATAACAGCAAACACAAACTCTGCCTTTAAGGAATGTGATTTCTAGCTAAGAAGTTTAAGGTATGCTTAACTGCTGTAAACTTATGCTTATTTAAGTAAAATTCACCTTACTGCAGAGAATTTGCATTTGGAATTACCATGGCACAGACCAGTAAGCTGGGCACATTCTCATTTTAGTAATGAATTTTCGATATTCTTATTTAGTTCACTTTGCAAATTTTAAGCAGTAAATACAAATGATCTGTTGACCAATAATCAGAATATGATATTCATACATATCACAAACTATTCTACTACAGGGTAGCTTTTTTGAGAACAAAAATATTAGTAATCTCTGTTTTCTTTACTTGTGAGTTCATATAAATGACAAAGAAGAAATTTTTTCAAAAACTTGTAGCCCAAGTGAACTCTTAAGAGAGGATGGCATCTATAATCATTATCCCTTTGACACTACCATTTCTGCATCTGGCCTAATGTGACACTAAAAAGCACTCATCAGATTTTTATATTTCTGTGCTTCTGAAACCAGAAGTGGAAACTCTATTTCAAATCCCTGTAACTTCCTTAACTAAACAGATGACAATGTGGGTTATGCCCCATCTGACACTGGAGCTTTTAAACTGCCTGTTCTGACATTATTTTGACGCCTAGAATGCCTACCAAAGCAAAAGATTTTCATAAACCAAGACGTTCCTTTCTGTATATTCCTAAGACTTCACATTACGTTCTTCTGGTTTCCGGACCATGTCTCACCATTCCCAC